GGAGCAGTGCATGGGATTGCTGTAATTCTGTATTACGACTTGAAAATATTTTTAGAAATATGATTGAAAAAGATCCAGGATGTATGTCAACTAATTTGTATAACTTAGTAAATGATAGGAATTTTTGGGCAAATGTTGAATGCCTTACATATGTATCATCACCTGCAAAAAAGGCTGTTAAATGTATAGAATCTGCAAACTCCACTTTGGCAGATTTTTTTTTAATCCTCATTCAAATGGCTGCTACAATAAAACAGTTGCCAATAAGTGACTCTACAGAACATAAAGGTTTTCAAAGACAATGTATTCAAATATATAACAAATGATGGATACAGTTTGATGTTAAATTTTATTTACTTAGTTATTTTTTGCACCCAAAGTATCGTAGCAATGGGATGGTTCCTGTAGTTTTTCATTCAGTGATACGTACAGCATTAGAAGTATGGAAAAATTTGGGAGGTGGAGATAAAAGTGCACAAGTCTTAATCACACAAATAAAAAATTATGATTCTTTCACTTTCCCTTATCATTATCCATATGTAGAGGAACATCCGGAAAATATAAAAAAATTTTACATGTGTCAATTGTAAGTTTAATAATAAAAAAGTGTAAAACTTATGTCGGCACTGTAAGATTTACACAATATTACGTCGGCATCGTAAGATTTATGCAAGTTTACGCTAAATTAATTTCCTGATGAATCAGAGTGTCCAAAAACATGGTGGATTTCTTGCAAACAACAACATCATCATTTACAATGTCTTGCATAGTATACTTTAGCAATTGTTCCTCACAGTGCAAGCTGTGAATGTTTATTTTCTGTATTAAGTTGGTTCACTCAAAAATGTAGAAATAGGTACAATAAAAATTATTTTTATTTTTTCAATGTATATAAATACATATAATATTTCTAATAATTAATTCTTTATAGACTTGATGTTGAAAAGGTTTCTAATATGGCTAAATTACATTCTTTTTACACAATGAATGCAAACAGTGAATTAAATTACATTACTCAAGAAATGTCAGAGGAACAATTGATTAATGCTTTACATGATTATGGGAATGGATTATTTTCTGGAGAGGGAGTGAGTTTTTGATTTTGAAGATACTGATGATGACAACAATAGTGATGATGGTGATGATGATATGCAAGATAATAATGCCAACAATCCTAATTTAGAAATAGAGAACTCTTTTTATTTGTCAGATTTTTATGAACCTTAGGAAAGGGAAAATTTTAATAGACCATTAGAAGATATAGAAGATTATGGTGATCCTGATTATAATATAGATGTTATAAGAGATTCAGGAATTTAAATTTTTTTATTTTGCCAAATTTACAAATAAAAATAAAATTGTGTTTTTAATAATTATTATTGTAAATTATATAGCCAATCTTATTTATGGGATTACGGCAGCCAAAATTATTTAAAGCACAGTGGATGACAGCAAAAACCATCAACTATTATTGACTTACCAAAAATGGTATCTACTCATTAGGGATGATCAATTTCAAAAAAATAATTGCACCAAATGATTATTTAGAAGTCAAGGAGTAATTCATTGCAGCTAGATTTTTAATTTTGTACTAACTAGCAAAAGTTATAAGAGTTTGAAATTTCATAATTTTTTAATATTTTATATATAATTTTCAAAAGTTGCCACTACTCAAAATGCCTAAAAAGACAAAAAAAATGAAATCACTTCTTTCAAACTTACAAAAGGCCAATGAAGCCTGTCATTCAAAAGCTTCTAAATTTGATCTTTCTTTACAAGAAGCTCAAGAAATTCCAGCAAATACTGATTTTTCTCTTTTTTCTCAAGAAAATTCCTCAATTGTTGATTTACCTCTTTCCTCACCTGAATTATCTGATGATGATGAAATAATTGACTTGGGAACTCTTGAATATGATAATGAAATTGCTAATGTAAATTTTTTTGAAGATAATAATGCAGGTGAAACCTCTAATAAAAAAAAACCATCAAGGGTATTATACAGGAACTGCTCCCAGAACAATTAGATACAAAAACAAAACCTTTGTGAAGCTGCTGAAGGAACAGCAAATATCATGGACTTTTTTAAGCTGGTAAGTAAAGATGATGATGGTATAGAAGAAGAAGAAGATGAGGAAGAAGATGAAAAAGATGATGATGTAGATGATATAGAAGATGTAGAAGATGAAAATGAAAATGAAAATAATATAACATCAGGAAAACCAATTCCAAATATTCTACGTATAATTAGCGTGTAATTAGCATAATAAATTCTGTATGCTTATTTATTTGTATATTGTTTGATTATTCTATACTAAATATTTTATAGCAAATAATATTTGCTTATTATTTGTTTAAAATTTGCATTAAAAAATATACAAATAATATTTGCTATAAAATATGTATTATATATATATAATTTACTTTGGCATATTAAATACATAAATTAAAGTGCATATTATATATGCCCATATTTAATATGCATATTTTGTGTAAATAATGCAGCTATATTTTAATATGTATTAAATATGTATTATATTACAAATATTATACACCTCAAATATTAAGCAAACAATAAGTAAACAATAAACAAACAATAAACAAACAATAAACAAACAATAAGTGAACAATAAACGAATATAGATTTGGAGTTTTTTTTTAATATGTGAACTAAATTGTATTTTAATTGACGATCCGCGAATGAAGAGCATAATAGAAGTTTGTTCATGTCACATGCAGATCATTAATTTGTGACACAATTGAATTATATTGCGAACATAGTA